TCCACGAGGCGCACACATACGTGCACAGGCAGCTGGCACCTCCGGCGCGGAGGCCTGCCGAAGCTTGTCAGGAAACATATTACACATCACACCAATATGCTGAACAGAATGTTCTGTTTGTAGCTCTGTTTCTCAACATCTTACACATTTTCAGAGTCTCTGCAGTCACCAAGTGCTCTGTGATTCCCCCATAAATATCCCAGGACACTAACAAAATGAGAAGTTCAGAGGTCAGAACCGCCTACAGTGGGAAGTTGGGCTGTGTTTCCATAGCCTATGTCACCGAGGACCACCTTCCCACCCACTTGCTGGGCAACCCTCAGAGGATGGCAGCTGCTAACTTAGGGGGGAAAAAAAAGTGCACCATGGAGGAGGCAAAAGGATTATTTTTAAGAAAGCACAATCTAACTTTTCTCTCCACCACCCACTCCACACCACCTCCTCCTCATTCTCGTCTTTCCTCCTGCTTCTCCTCCATCTCACTTTTCCTCCCAGCCCTGCTCCCGTTGCTCATGCACCACGCTTCTCACACATGTTTCCTGCGTCCCAAGCTGGGACACCAGCTCAGACACCACACTGGAGGAAGAGACACGGTGCAAGGACCTGGAGCTGCCACTGAGCTCAGAGGGGGAAATAAAGCCAGCTAGCGTCCTTCGGGAAAGCTCCAAATGTGTGAGAATCAAAACATGCACTCGCTTTTTAGAAGCCCTATGTCAACACCGAAGCCATGGAGAAAAGAGAAAGTATCTGTGTCATCAGCTAAATGAACCCGTTTATTACGCCATCCTCCTTATGTGCCTAAATACTGGAAGATATTTGGCTTATTTCTTCTTTCAAATGCCCTTGACTATTCAATTCCATGCCTCCTTAATGTGGCTTCTGGAGCTGAGCTGCCCAAGTTTGGTGTGGAGTGGTGCACATTTTCAAGTGTGTGTGATGAATCCATGTGCCCTGTGCATCCGTCTCTTCCATCACCTGTGTATGACAAGCAACTCAAAACACTCAGCAACCACCTACTCAGGCCGAAATGCCTCTTTAGCAATAGTTAAAATAATGAGGTACATTCCAAAGCAGAATGATTAAAGGTTAGGAGCAGATTCACATGGCAAGGGAGAAAGGCAGTGCAGAGAAATGTAAAGATGATTTGTAAGAATTAAAAACAAGACAGTGAGCCCTGGCTGGTTTTGTTCAGTGGTTAGAGCGTCGGCCTGCGGACCAGAGTCCCAAGTTCAGTTCCCACTAAGGGCACATACCTTGGTTGCAGTTTGTCCCCGGCCCCAGGTGGGGTCGTGTGGGTGGCAGCCAGTTGATGTGTCTCTCTCACATCGATGTTTCTCTCTCTCTCTTCCTCCTTCTCTCCTTCCCACTCTATCTGAAGATAAATGCAAAAGTGTCTTCGGGTGAGGATTTTAAAAAAAAAAGACAAGACAATGAGCTGAACCTTTATCTCTAACATAGAAAATATTTAAACAAATGAAAGCAATGCTCATGCATTTACCTGTAGCAATCCATCCACTCAATTACTCTTCAATAAGCACTTATAAAGCATATACTATGCGCCAGACACTGTGCTAGGTGCCAGAGAAAACAAGGAACGAAACAAACCTGATGCTAGTGCTCACGGAGCTTACAGCCTAGCATGGCACAAACTGTGGGCTCACAAAACCGTAAGGTAAAGTATGCATTATGAAGGAAGCAGAGAGCTGAGAAAGAATAACATTAGAGAACATACATTCTACAGGGTGGGGCAAAACTGGGTTGGAAGACGATATAATAAATAAATAAATAATACAAAAATAAACTCTGTTTCGAGCACCCACAACTGTAAACCTACTTTTACCCACCCTGTACAGAGTAGGGAAGAAAAGCCTCTCAGAAGACACTGAATTTTAAAGCTGGACTATAAAGGAGGAGAAGAGATAACCAGGACAAAAATGGGATGACTATTCCAAAAAGACCGGATTACATGTGCAAAGGCCCTGAAGCAGAGAAAGTCTTGGCACCAAGATCGGTGTGGCTGAAGGACAGTAAGCAAGGGGAGAATGACACAGAGCATGCCTGTTGCATCGCTGTGGGCCGTGATGCCCAATCGAGATTTCATTGTACGGACAACAGGAAGTTTTCAGCAGAGAAATGGTAGACTCCGTTTACACGTTATGATGATCAGTGTTGCCTCTGTGGAAAAAGACCTGAAAGTGGATCCTGTGCCGTTATCTACACAAGAGAGGACAATTCCGTGGACCAGCATGTGGCAAACTTCTTGGTGGCACACAGATGTAGACATATTTTAGAAATAGAGCCAACAGAAGTCATTGTAGATTGTACATGTGGGTGACATCAAGGAAGGAATGGGACATGATTCTCATCAAGTTGCTCCATTTATATGTGAGGTATTTCCAAAAGCAGAAGCATCGCCTGACGCAGTGCCAGGCCCACACAAGAACCCGTCTAGGGGCTGGGGTATGTCGACAGACATAAGTATCTCCAAAAGCCTCAATGCAACAATAACAAACTGTGTGTGCCTGTTCTTGAGAAACAATAATGGGATACCACTAGGCAGGTATTTCAGTATATGAGTTTTCCCACCAAAGAATTTTATTGTCATGTTGGTGCCAGAACCCTGTAACTTCCTCAGAATCACAGGGTTAAATGTCTTTCGATGCATCAGTGCAACAAGTGTAACATTTCAAGTAGAACTGCAGCAGTTCAACCAGCTATCAGTCCATCTAGTCTCTGTGATAAGCAGTGGAGAGACTTTATAATTTCTAAGAGAACCTTTATGTTGAATTGAATGATGCATAACATTAACTAGCAGGAAAATAACTATAAAATGCAAATTTATAAATAATTTTCTTATGATCACTGAACATCTTGGTCCCTAACAATGGTCTCTCGGTAGGATCCCTTCAGAAACCAGCATACAACAGAATGCAATACTCCCCAGGAAGGAGACCTCGGAGGGTAAAGAGAATGAATTACCTTGTTTATTTTGTACATGCTGTACTCAAACTAGTCCCCAAATGCCACACAAACCGACTGTTCTCCCAGGGTAGACACCTTCATTCGCACTACCTTTCTGATCACAGTTCATTCCCTATTACTGACTTGAGTATTACTGGCGATGTTCCATTGTCTTTCCTTGACAAAGCTGGTACATAATTATCATCTCAAAATCCCTTGGCCCATTTGTCTAGGACAGCGTCTCTCCCTTTTTAGTATTTATAGTGATGATGCACTCTTGTTCTTAATTTGCAGAATGGGAGATGACGATGAGAGGACGGAGAGAGAGAGATCACACGCTTTGGGCAGCATTTCTGATTCTGGCTCAGCCCTTGCCGAAACAGAGAGCAAATCAAGATGGACAGTAGTAATTCATTTGGAAAGGGATGTTATCTTTTGTTCCTCTACACTTTTCACTGTGACCTTTTTTCTCTGCATTTCAAGGACTTTACTTGAAACAGACTCCATTTTTTGGAGGGGGGTTTTATTTGTTTTGTTTTGTTTTGTTTTAGTCAATATATGAAGGATTCCCAAGATTCCAATGAAAAGTTCTTAATTCTTATCTCCTGTCCTCTAGACCCTCCTCAGTCTCAATTTATTCCAACATCTTTACATTTTAATTTAGGCCCGACCAGTGTGGCTCAGTGGTTGAGTGTCGACCCATGCACCAAGAGGTCACTGGTTCGGTTCCCAGTCGGGGCACATGCCCAGGTTGTGGGCCCGATCCCCAGTGGGGAGCATGCAGGAGGCAGCCAATCAATGTTCTCTCTGATTGATGTTTCTATCTTTCTTTTCCTCTCCCTTACTCTCTCTCTAAAATCAAGAAAGAAAAAATTTTTAAATAAAATTTAATTTAGTAGTCCATCTCCAAACTGTCCTCAACGCGTTCATCTTTCCTTCAGAGACCCACCTGCACTGCTCCTCTCAGCACGGTGCCTCTACAGCTCCTCAGCCACCTGCTCAGTTCCAGTGGTGAGACTAGACCCGACACACAGATTCGCATCACTGCACGTCACACCCTCTTTAACTTAACTCTAGAAATGCACTTTTCAACACTTCTGAGCTGTTTGTTCTAATTTGGCCCCCCTGACCTGCAATGACTGAATCGGACGGTCATCTGTGCTACCCCTACTGCATTTACTGCAGGTTCCGCAAGTGTAGCAAAGAGATGAAGAATATACAGAGCTCCACCACGTGAAAAGCTGTCACTATGTAACTCCTGTTGGGGAATGTCTCCAGGTTGGCATGTGCTTCTACTGCACATATCTATTCTCACTTCAGACACAGGGTTACCCAGATAGCCAGATATTCTCCACATCAAAAGAAACAAAAGCAACACACACATGCACCCTAAATACACAGTGTCCCCATCACTGGAACCCAAGGGTGTTCTCTGACCTCCTGTTATTCTGTTCTTAGTAACACTTCTATCCAAGTATTCTATCTAATATGTTCCAGGTTTCAAGAGCTATGCCACTCCACTCTACATTCTTTTGACTTACAGGATGCTTTTCACTATTCCTTTTTAAATTACCAACCCAACCCATGACTTGATTAAATGTCTCCTATTAACCCTATAAGTATCATACACACACACACACACACACACACACACTTGTCATCTTGACCTACTGTCTCAATGGAAACTATTTCTAAGCAGAAACAATCCAAACATTTCTTTAAAAAATCTTTCAGTTATTGTGATTACTGTAGTTAAATACCATCTATAATCCTCTGCCCTATTTCACTAGTCAAAATGTAGAATACACAACCATGCCTAAATTCGGTCAAATATTTTCTGACCAACTCAGAATGTTACCAAATCTCCTCCTAGACCAACCTGTTGGGCCAAGAAAAGCATCTCCACAGACACGATCCTTTAGAGGAGACCATCCCCTTATGATCGCATCCCTCCCGGTTAGCCACAGATCCTAAAAGGTGTCTTTCCCAAGGATGCAGGAGTGAGGCAGCGAGAGGCGCCCACTCCATGGAGTACTCACTGAGCGGTTTCAGGATGCTGCCGGATTCATCGGCATTCTCCACATCCGACTTGTCCGAGTAGTTCTCGGAGATTCTCTCCTTTTCCTTCTTTTCTTTGTGGCCTGTCTTTCTCTTGTGCCGTCTCCTCCTCCTGTAGCTCTTCGGCACATGGACCCCAATGTAGATGGTATGGTGGCCTAAAGGAAGGTACACAAATCAGCAATCATTTTAAATCACCTTCTATGCTGCAAATAAATTACACAAGATCCACAGGTCAGAGGAAAATGTCTATGAATTCAACATTATCCTTCTATATTTGACAAACAAACTCAAACTAGACAAGTGAAATCTCCTGCCAATTTTCAGATGGCTAGCATTTCATCCAACCTGTTGGTTGAAATTAAGATTCTGAGAGGGTGTAGTTTCTATCCAGATAGACTACTTTTGTTTAGAAAAATCAAAGAACACCACATTGGAAATCAGAAATCCTTGATTCTCGTCAGACCTCTGCCATCAATTAGCTCTGTGACCCGAGTGTGTCCCTTCATCATGCTTGGCCTCGAGCTCATCATTTGGATAATGACAGACTTCAGCCGGGCAGCCCTGGAGGCCCTTCAGGTTCTAAGCTCCTATGAGTCTGTGACTACACTCAACAGGGTGCTGAGAAAGGAGCTCTCAGAGTGACAAAAAAATAAAATCCGACTCCAAGTTCAAGAAGTCATTTTGCTGGGAATAAGGGTTTTACACTAAAACTTTTATTTATTTATTTATTTTACCCAATCAGCAGAATAGAGGCTTAGAACTGGGACAAACTGAGAAAAAATAAGACATACTTGGGAGATTTTAGAAATAATCAAATGTTCACACTAGGAAGCAGCTAAAATGAATGTCAGCCACAGTGCCATTCTCATTTTTCTTTTCTCGTTTCCAAAAGTTTCTAAAAACTGGTTGTTGCGACGATAAAAATAAACCCAGCCCAGCAATAACTGCCTTGAAGAGAAGGGCATGAGGAAAAAAGATTGTGAAGTACTTTTAGTTCTATGGATGGAAGGAGCTGCAAACTGACAAGTGATATTATTTTAACAAAATCTGATAAGACAGAAAAAAAGGAACTCAAAGTTCCACATCTTTTTTTTTTCCTTAATTTGTAAACTTTTACTTTCACTTTATATACAGCCTAATTCCTGAATGTGGGAACCACCATTTCGGAGGTAATGTAAAAGTTCTTCTTTTTAAATTTATCTTTATTGTTGCAAGTATTACAGATGTCCCTTTTTTTTCCCCAATGAACCCCTCCCCTTTCGGTTCCCGCCCCCCTCCCCAAGGCACTGCTGTGTCCATTTGTTGGTTTTTTTTAACTACCAATTAGAGTTCTCATGTATGGATTTCCTCTCCCATTCTGGAATTACTCCCTGATGACTTTACAATGCCCCAGAAGGTCTCCCACACTTACATGTAATACTCGAACATGCAGTCGAGTAGATCTGACGTAAACTGCTGTGAACTGCTTTCCACAGTAACTCATTCGGCAAATCTAAAAACACTATAATTCACAGGGGTGTTTCCTTATACTGGAAGGATTAAAACAAGTATATGCTCCTTCAAGAAAGAGGTTCCATCTAAGGAATGCAGAACCCAGAGTGGATGGGTTAGTATTCAAAAGAAAACATTTGCTACTTGGAATATAGTTGGAGGCATCTATATGTATAAAGCATGAAACTGCCCCTCAGCAACACGCACACACACACGCACACACATACACACACTCAACTACTACAAAGTACCATGAAACCCTCCTCACAGAAGATGTACCAGTGAAAACTGCATCATGTCTAACCACCTGCAAGCAAATCGTTCTCATGGGAAAGTTGTATTACACTCCCAAGTAGGAAATGTCTCAGAAACAATGTGTCTAAGTAACTGTCAATTGTTTCCTGCGCTCCAGTTACTGAGGGAGTCCTGCAGCTTTATCTCAAGTTTCACACAATATATGTAAGCAAAGCCAACCAATTTCTTTAGTAAAGCAAACACTGAAAGCTTCGTTGACTTCATTCCAAAATTAGGAAAACATCATAAAAAAATTAAGTTGGAAAATGTTTTAAAACCTGTCACATTGAATACTTTCTACATCTTATTAAATAATGGCAACTAAGAAAGAATGGCAGTTAGGCTACATTCGTTATATTGATGTTATTCGGAAATCTGTATAGCACCCCTGATAAATCATTTACAGGACAGTCCATATGGGCTGATAGGATTTTAAGGTATGCTTTCTGGCTATAAAATGTTGTTGTGTTTCTGAAAGAGTTAGAGCTCTCAGAAAGTGGGTTTTCAGAGTCTATAGAGAGCAATGCACCTTACCTTTTGGAACCTAATTTGAGTTGTCATCACCACAAAAAAACGGTGCCATTTTATTCCCATTTCTATCCCAGGCCTCCTCCCTGCCTCACGGTGAGATTCCGCTTGTCCCACTCCCTCCAGCTGCGGCCTCGGACGCCTCCCCGCTCACTCCTGCTCACTCCGTCACACACTGTCAGACAGGTGGGGAAGCTGTCGGACTCAGTGCTGGGCTAGAGAACAGGGCTCCTTCCAAGAAAAGCCCGAATTTCAGGCATTTTTTAAATCAGCTTTATTGAGGTATAATTTACACATCATAAAATCCACACATTTTAAAAGTACGATTCAGTGATTTTTACTATGTTTACAGAGTTGTGCAACCATCACCATTATCCAATTTTAGAACATTCCCACCAGTTCAACCCCCTCATGCCCCTCTGCAGTTCCTCTTGGTTGTCGCTCCCATCCGTTCAACCACCTGTAGGCACATTTCGGTCTCGGTGATGGCCTCCGGGAAGCTACAGGTCCCTGGCACCCTCATGGCTATGAACTTTTTGGGTGTATCCTTACAGCACAGTAAAAAACAATATTCCGTGCATGAGGAACATGCACCTTTCAGGAGCTGCCAAAGGGGCTCATGGCCCTGAGCAGAGCAATCCAAAACTCAAAGCATCTTCCTTCTCCTCTCACCCACTGCTGGTAACTAAAACTTCCTTTTCTGTCCGGTGTCCAGACAGAGGAAAAGGAACATGGTCCTAGGTGAAACAAACCCTTAGGAACTCAGGGAGAGCACCTGTGTTCCACCAGTTACTTCTCGACCTCTCTCCACCGCAGCTTCTTTGCCCATGAGAAATGAGTAAGGACAGCCTCGCTTTGAGTAGGGGTTCAGCATGCTCTCTGGGGAGAGGGCCACATACTTCATAAGCTGTATGTGCTAAGTAACAAAAATACCAGAAGTAAAATCAGCGGGAACATATGCATTCTTCCCACCCCCACAGAATAATGTGTTCAGGACCAACAGAAGCAGCATCACTGATGAAAACGGGATACTGTTAATAAGACATTCATAGATGGAGTCAATATTTATTTTCATTAAAATATCTGTACCTGTCTCAGAGATATGTCATGGAGACTAATGGCTATTTTTTTAGATCACAATGCACAAAATGACAGCAAGCCCTTAGGAAAGCCGTAGAGGCTGAGGGTATAGAATTATTTTGCACGTAAAATGAAAATGAGAAACTTAACAGACAAGTTTTCCAATCCAGCAAGGGTCTACAAAACAGTGAGACACTCGAAGAATCAGGGACAGTTACCTTGCAGGGAAATTTTAGGCTTAAAAACAAACAAACAAAACAAAACAAAACTTCTCGCCAGAAATGTCAGTTAAACTGCTTCCAAAGTATAAAAAGCAGCAGCAAATATTTTTCAAGTTCATAGGAAAAAGGCAATTGTTTCAAAGGTAACTAAAATAAAAGTTTCATTCTTGCTGTGCAAAATTTTGTCAAAACTACTAGAATGTATACGTGACAGTGTTCATTTAGGTGTAAGTCAAAGTGTCCTCGGTCCTTGATCTGGCGGTGGCCTCTGTATCATGTGTTCAAATAAATGCTCTGCATACCTTTCTCTGACAGATGGTGCAAATTCCCCAGAAACTCTACATGTCTCAGGAATATCTCACAATGCGTACCGCATTTCTTCTCCTGGGAAGAAAACATGGTTTTCTGGGTTATCTCTGAATGTCAGAAGTTATCACCAGGTGACCCTTGTTTCTTCCCATCCTCGTCTGCTCCACCTCAGTTGAAAGATGAAGTACTGTGAAGCTATCATGTCCAGTTCTCCGAATTCCTAAGATATTTCCAAACTGACAGCACTGATAGTTGCTATCATGTTTGCAGGCCACCAGGGAACCCTGACATTTGGTCGTTCTAGGTAAAGAGGTTTTCACAGACACCCACTTTGCTACCAAGGATGATTTAAGACTTTGTAGAATTAAACCCATCAAACCAGAAATGGGTTTACATCGGGCAAGCATTCTGTAGAGTACTGGGTGGTTGACAGCCTGTACCTGTATATGTGAGACAGACCTATTAGCTCCTTTAGGAAACATGTTGCTGTGTTGACAATATATACAGATGATAAAAACCATTTATTGGGTACTTACAAATGTGCCAGGTTCTGGCTAGGTCTCTTCTGTCTATTGCTTCATGCAGTCCTCACACTGCACAAATTAAATAGTGCACCGTACAAGCAAAGCAAGCCTAGCTCAAGGAAGTCAAGGATATTGTGGCCAGCTAACTCATAAAATCCCATAGAACTCTCTCTCTCAGGTGTCAAAGTCAAGACCAGTGAGCACTTCATCACTGCTTTGGTGGTGTTCTGTTTTTGTTTTGTTTTGTTGTAATATATACTATATTTATACTATCAGTCTTACAACTGATTATGTGTCCTTCGTCACATTGACTGCTAGAAATAGAAGAGACAAATCTCGGGCCAACCCAAAGTGGGTAGACAGTGTTTCATGACATGCATTTTATACATTAATCTCACACTTCTAAATTTTCCATCGTTATTTTCCCTTCACACTAACCTTTTTGGAATAAAGCAGTATATAAATATTTTTTTTACAACCTGAGATGTCAGTACTGGGAGTAGGGGATAGCTGGGGGTGACTGTGGGGGAAGGTAGATTTTTGGGGCAAAGATTTAGACCTATTGATTAGACCCCACAGTTACCCCCACCATCCTCACTCTTTACCCTTTGCCTCCTACATACACCTCTAAACATGGAGAGATGTTCCAAATGAGATTTTTATCCACCATTACTGCTCTTTCTATAAACAACTGAATGTCTTTTCTGT